CCGCATCGCGACAATGACGACCGAAAAGCCGGTGAGCACGGCTGTCACCACCAGTGCTCGCTGGCCACGTTCTGCACCATCTCCCGATATCCTGGGAAATAGATGTTCTCTGATGATGTCCATGTTGATTCTATTGTTATAAATGGAGGGAATGAATCGGGTAGGTAGGGCCGTGGGGGTGTGGGTTGTAAAGAAAGAGCGTTTTTCCGGGATATAGATGGCTTGGCCGTCCGTTTGCTGAATGTCCAACGAGGTGAAGTAGGATGCCCCCTCCAGGTTTCGCAACCTAGATATCAAGACGAGATAAACCGCATGGGTTCAATTGGAGATCGATGGGGTTAAAAGAGAGTGGGTGGGTTGGTCGAAGCGTCTGCAGTAGAGTTTAGTTGCAAGGAACCGGTGCGGTAACGACATGGCTTTTATTTGTACAGTTCCTTTTCTACTGGGTTTATGGAGACGATCCCCGCACTGGCTCAAAGTTTGATAGTACTCAATAGCGTAAGAGAAGCTGAAAGAGGGCTGGTGGGCAGCATGGTTCCTTGTCGAGTGAGCGACCTGAGCTCGGTCTTGTCCGGGATGTGGTTAGGAGCTGAGGGGGGTGCCATTCAGATTGTAGTAATGATCTATGCGACTAAGCCGTCGGGCTCCACCGGTGTCGTGGGCAAGGTGGAGGAAGGCACGAGGTTCGCAGAGAAAATTAGTCAATGGCGATGCGGTGACGGTATTTAGCAGCAGACCCAGAATCGATGGCTCTCTGGCACCTTCCGCCCTGTCAAATGTTGCCTCGTTCCGGGCTTCGATCCATGGAACGCCGCCGTAGTCTTACTCGACTCTCTTGTATAACTACCCTGTGCGGTTTAGTGCTGCTCGGCAAGTGTTGTGCGGTCAACAGAAAGTGTACCTGAGAGGTCAGTCTCCGCTCCACAGCGAGAAAGAATCTGATAATTATGTTCGTTTCAAGTTGAATGTCGGTATGTTGAGTACGGAGTATACGACCGTCAATCTGAACGAATATCAGGTCAATTCCTCGCGCAATCTCAAATGCAAGATTAGTTGGTGATCGATAATTTCTCTGTCACACCTTAAGCAAGTCTTCCATACTATCCTTGCTCTGAGAGTTAATGCATGATTCATGTGCCTGGTTTCAGATCGCGGCACGAATCATAATACCCGATCGCGCTGGTGTGGATTTAGCACGCCTGGCAAGAGAATTTTCTCCTGCTGCACGCTAAAGTGGTATGATCGTGCGCCTGCACTTGCTCGTGGTCAGACTTGGTCTTCCAAATTTTGACAAGTCAAAAATCCTAGAGGTGGAGTGTTTGACGAGTGGCAATTTTCATTTTCCTTTCCAATACGAGATTCCCTGAACTCTGCTTGAACGTCCAGTCCGACCAACATGGCTGATAATTTCCGCATATCAACAACAATTCTATGTACCTGGTCAATCCAAGACCGACCAGAAAGTTGGCGAACCATTGCCGATTGTGATGGCAGTTTCTGTGCGGTGCTTTGAGCTGCACTTGTCCTCTGGACACATTTGGTTTATGATAGGCGCCAGTTGTCAACACAGTGGAGCACGTCGCCTCTAGTGTCCGAAGTGGCCGCGATCTTCGACAGCAATAACCTTTTTAGGACAATACTGCTCTAGACGCTCATAAATCATGGTTCTTTTTTTTCCGTGGCTTGCGACCATCCGGGGAATTTCTGCCAGGGCAGGAGGTCATTCCCTGTCCAGTGGCTGATCGGCAGATGGTGTGAACCTTCATCTACAAACCTCGATAGACTGTGTGTCCGCGCGCGATTTACTCTGCAGGTCCTCGTTCGATTCCAGTTCCTGACCTACTTAGGCTGCAGCTAATCCGGTGTCTTACGTTTGTATCAGAAGAGGGGCGGAGGACGATTGTGTGTCGAGGGGCGTTAGAACTGTGGATCAGAAGCAAGTCATAGATGTCGATCATATGGGACCTAGTGTTTCCTGATTCATCCAAGGTCTTGAGGCCCGACTACTTTTCTTGCGCCTTCAGGTCGAGGTCGGGGACTTATTTCGGCCGTTGAAAAATTATAAACCAGTACGACTGCGGCAAGAGGGGAAACAGCATGTCTGTAAGCAGCAGCCTTCGTTACTGTGAAAGGTCTGGGTAACTTCTTCGTAGTAGGTCAAACTCCATATCAGGGGATGAAGACACAACAGTTCTTGGAATGCTCGATTCTGCAGGATCAAGGGTCCGCCACCACACGTGGGCGAGAAATCGTCTCGTGCGGGGCCAGCACATCTAACACGTTCGTGAAAGGATTGCTTCTCCTGGTCGGGTGTCCAGAAGATGACATACATCATTTCTGAGGAAACGGCTAGCATCCGCTGTCGGGATACAGCATTACTGTCCTGTTCCGAGTGCTTTTGGGGGGTTTCCCGGAACGCTGGGACGCAAGGATTCGGCGGTGATCGTCAATAAACAATGGGGCCTCAGATGCAGGTCCCAGGAGAGAAAGAGGGGGAAGAGGCGTCGATAGCGCGGCGCTATCACTGCTAAAGACGGCGAAGGATTGCACTACCACCCAGCTGGTATGAACGCCCATTGTCAAGACTTGGCAAATGATGTAAATGGCTTGGAATAAGGCTTTTCAGAACCCCATCACTGTCCAATGAGGATAAAGGCTTCATGGTTCGCCGAAGTTCTAGTCTAGTCTGGTCAGTAGAGAGGGTTGAATGGTGTTGCATAAATTATTGAACGCCATGGGATAAATAAATGTAGGCTCTCACTAAATTCACTGACTCGTGCATTTGTAGTTTTTGGGGGGTATTTGATGTTCGCTGAATGGCTGGCACAGTGTTCTTAGCTTCGTCTTGACAAAATCCCTTGGGCCCTTGAACTGATTTGACCCCAAGTACGATGGTCAGTGGTGGTGTTGACAGCCTTGCGCTGCGTTGTGCTTGAAGGGAAACTCGACTCGAGGATCGTCGCATCGGGGGCGGTTTTGGCATGGCTCGGTCAGTGTCAATTATGTCACCCCAGTCAAGCCGCTGGGCTCACCGAACCGTTCTCACCCCATGAATCAGCTGTCATTGGCAGAAGATAATCAGGCTCTGGGGCTACCGTCAAATGTGGGCGATGATCGTTGGCCGGAGGAAGGGAAGGAACAGTGACAGAAGTGGGAAGGGGGAGACGAAGCGGTTTGCCTGCCGAGGGATAGCAAGCGATGTTTATCCCTGACGATCCACGGGCTGTGGAACAATAACATTCGCAACAACAATCACTCAGTACATATCTGCCAGGTCATAACGATACAAGGCAATGATCTACACATTCTATGTTCGGCGGATTGAATTTTCTTACATTGACGAAGAGGCACATGGCACTTTAACATTTACCCATTCTTTTTATTATTCTGTGGTATGACACTATATTTTCTACGTTTGGCATCCGCTTTTCCTATAATCAGGTCAAAGCCTAATTATCCCCGAGACTGGACTGCTCTGGCTCCTCTGACAACTCTCCTTGCAAGGTCAAGGTGTAAAGGTCCGGGATGTGCGGATCTTGTCGCAGGCAAGCCTTAGCACTGCTCTGCGGCACATCGCTCATGATCCTCATCCGAGTCGGGAAGCTCTCGAGCGAGTTGTCCGTCGAGCCGGTAATTAGGGAAGGAGCCTCATCAGGCTCACAAGTGATTGACTCCCGAAGGGGTGAGGGTGTGAAACCCTTTTTTTTCTCCTTGAAGTGCCGGTTCAGATCCGTCTGTTCGAGCTCGACGAGCCGCGATTGTTGCCTATCGAACCAGTCCCGGGACGACGGGAATTTGTTTTCTTGTATGAAGCCAGTGCCTACACCGAAGTCATCAAGCAGATAGTCGTACGGGTTGCCGGGATCTTGCAGACATTCATCCTCGGTTATCCTGGGATCATTGCGCCACCAACCGTGTGGGCTGTAGTACCTGAAGGTGAGTTTGGATGCCCATTCGACAAAGTCAGTGATCGTTCCTGGGAGTTTCTGTCCTTTGTTCTCGAGGTCAACGACTACTGGGTCTATGTAGACCATAGCATTCTTCAACAGGGCTTTGTGGCGGAGCTCGTCCCCGGCTCTGGGGACCTTCGGATCGGTTAGCTGGAAAAAGAGTGAGATCACCGGTGGTGTCCGGCTTTCTTGTGGGACGGGATTTCCAAGCCAGTTGAAGTGGTGGACTGACTCAGACTCGTCTACTTTGTCCATGTATGCATCGCGAGCATTGAATTCACGGTCGATCTCGACCCTGATGAGCTTTACCTCGGCGCTCTCGTCCTCGCTAGAGGCCATTGAAGGGGCCAATCCCTGATAGTGACTACGCGCTGCTGCTTCTTCAAGCTCCGTGCCACGACCATCGAGATCTAGTCTCTGGCTTTGGTGAAAATTGCTGATGTTGTAGCCGAGACTGCGGTAAGCCCTTTGAATAGCGTGGTTCCTATTGCCTGACTCGCTCGCCTCGGTTGTAGTCCAACCCATGTTGGAGCCAGCAGTTACCTCTTCTCTCTCACTGGCACAGGGCTTGTCGAACCCCATGTCATCAAAATCGTGCATTAGCACTTCGTCTGACACTGTTAGTGTCTCTGTCGAACTGGTAGAGCTTATCTCGTCTCTCGAAGTCACCTCGGTATCCGAAGAATCATCCATCCAGTTGAATGCCGATCCCGGCTCGAGGAGCTTCCTGTAGGTCTCCTCTAGTTCAGTAAAGGTCGCAATATGGTTATCAGACATCCTAGCACTCACGTTTCTGGCTCTGAGGTTAATTTCATGAGAATCCATGTTGGCGATCGGACGCTGAAACGTCTAACTCCTCGCCGCACTCGAAGTATTCACGTTAGAATATTTATAACCAGGCTTCGGGCTTCTGTTATGAGTCAAACAAAGACAAGAGTGGTCTCTGGAACCAAACTGCGGAAAGGTAGTTGTCATTAAGGGCAGGTCATTACTATGTCATGGCTGACGCCGCCATCTCGTTTCCTCCTTGATGTAGCAAAAAAGCAGAAACCTGGACACCCGCATAGACCAATCGTATGCAACAAATTGCTCTTACCCTCTTTTGGGTTACAATCTGTTCGCATTCGCGGTTATCGCATCGAAGATTTTTTTAGAATCGAGAAACTTTGAAGGCATGGCTGAGATAGTGGTACATTCCGATTGTTGGTGTTTCTGCACCACATATCAGTGCTAACGCTGGTAGATAGTAGGTTGCTAGATCTGATCCCGAATTCTGACAGTACAAGTGCATTTAGTTGGACCGGATCGCAATGCCTCAAGTACTGCTTGGTTATGATATCATGCAAGGCACGAGGAAGAACTCCGGAGTTAGACAAGTCCGACATTCAAGTTGTGTGTCTTTGTACTATCTCCACGTGGTAGGCTGGGATCTGAAATGACAAAGAGATCATGAGTGCTATTAGATCACAATGGCTTTGTTTTGTCGCGCGATGGCCATTGTCTTAACAGACAAATAGCAAGCAGACCTTCGTGTCGGCAGAGTTGTATGCGGTGCAGCAGGGTAAGTATCGGGGAAGGAACTCCGATGTATCGGGGCGACCTTCAGCCGGCCAAAAAAAAGGGCCCCGCCGAAATCACGAAAGACGGATTCCCCCGCACGCAACGCCGACGTTCGGCCGTCTTCGATTCCATTTATAGCCCACTGAGCCCCCCCTTATCTTTCGTTATCCTTCTGACTCATTTGTTGAAAGTCTCAATCTCCAGCCCCGCCTTATGCGCCTGCTTCGAGCTCTTCTCACCTCGACCAGATCCCTGCGACAACTTCCCTTGACGACCTCCCCCGGGAACATCTCCGCATTCACCCCACTTACCCGATCAACCCCGTTTCAATCCGCGATCCAGCCCACTTTCATCAGACGCACAATGGCCTCCGCAATGGCAAAGCGCCTCGAGGGCAAGACCATCGTGGTCACTGGTGCCTCGTCCGGTATCGGCCGCAGCACGGCCAAGGAGTTTGCTCGCACCGCGCCCAAGGACCTGAAGCTGATCGTGACGGCCCGTCGCATCGACTCCTTGAAGCAGCTCGCCCAGGAGATCAAGGAGGAGGTCGGTGAGGGTGTCAAGGTCCTCCCCGTGCAGTTGGATGTTAGCAATCCCGAAGAGATCAAGAATTTCGTGCCGTCTTTGCCTGCTGAGTTCCAGGAGATCGATGTGCTTGTGAACAATGCGTGAGTCGACATAACGCTCCTCTCCCTGCGCGAGATTCGCCCTCGTCGCAGTTATGACTTGGGGAAGAAGTTAGGCAGAAGCCCTGCTGACACTCAAGAATCAGCGGCCTTGTCAAGGGTGTCGCCAAGGCCCCCGAGATCGACGCCCAGGATGTCGACGTCATGTTCTCGACCAACGTAACCGGATTGATCAACATGACCCAGGCCATTCTCCCCATTTTCCAGAAGAGATCCGACGGCGGTCGCGGTGATATCATCAACATTGGTAGCATTGCCGGCCGCGAACCGTATCCCGGTGGAAGCATCTACTGTGCCACGAAGGCGGCCGTCCGGTCCTTCACCGACGCATTGCGAAAGGAGCTGATTGCGACGAGAATCCGCATCATCGAGATCGACCCCGGTCAGGTGGAAACCGTGAGTCCGTCTGTTTGGGAGTTTTGTTGCAGTCTTCCGTTGTGAATCTTACTGATAGTTGTTTGTGCTGTACAGGAGTTCTCCGTGGTGCGATTCTACGGTGACAAGGAGAAGGCCGATGCAGTCTACGCGTATGATATTCCCAGCTGAAGATTATTTGCACAGCTGAGATCAAGGACGTACTAATGTACTCTGTTGCAGTGGCTGTGAACCCCTTACCCCCGATGATATCGCTGAAGTTGTTGTGTTTGCCGCTGGTCGGCGCGAGAACGTTGTGATCGCGGATACGCTGATCTTCCCCAGCCACCAGGTAAGTTCATGAAACTTCGGGACCCAGATGACAAGCGCTGACGCATAATTCACCAGGCTTCTCCGGGTATCATGCACCGCAAGGCTTAGTGATATGCATGATGGATAGAATAGAAGTATATAAAGACAGGGTACCTGCCACAGTCTCGACACGATAAATAACGGCTATTTGATCTACAATCACCATGAACCGTCCTCCAGCTTAGCTAAGAAGTACTAGTTAGGTAGTCTATGTGCTGTGTATCGACCTTGTTCTGGGTGTATGAATTTGCCTGTTGACCGGTCATTCTCCGCATCCACATAATCCCCCAAAGCAGGGCTGAGGTCCAGTGGTAGACTACTCCCTAGATTTGTTAGGCCTGCAACTTGGAACCAATAATTGACAAATACACATGGTTTCTATTTGTAGATTGACAATTACATCGAAGGACTGCCGACTTCAAAATAATGAAAACATCACTCGACCCGCTTTCTAAATGAAAACCAGGCAGCACTTAAATTTTCAGCCTAATCATTTCGATTCCTTCTCTCCTCTGCTGCATCTATACATGCTTTCCAACCGACGAGAGGGGAATAGACGAATCTTCGAATCACGGTTGATGCGTATACCTACCATATGCTATGAGTATGATGCTCAGCAACCTCTCACCAACAAGAACAGAAAATAAAGACATATCAAATCCGAATAAAGCCAGAATATCAATCTTCATCCCCCGCCTTCTCGCTCTCCAGATCTGTCCCCAAAATGACCTCATAAACTAAAGCCCAGGTCAACCGACCTCAATTGCGTCACAGGAAACCTACCGGTAGGTATCCAGGACCGACATCCACAACCGGCCGCCCAAACCAGACGTATCCAGAAGCATTGACATGTCAGTTCATCGGCCCCCCGCCCGGCCTCCTCCCCTCCCCGTCTCGTCCCTCACGCTCCAAACTCCGCCCCATTTGACTTTTTCCCCTGCATATGACATGGGAGCCAAGACGCAAAGACAACAGAAGCAATTATTGCCTGGGCCGAAGCACCAAAAGAAAATGGCGGTCTAGACCTGCTGTGTAACTACTGTGCCGTGAACCGCTAGTCCGGTCGGTGGTTTTGAAGGGCTTTTGTTTTGCCATTGTGCTTGAGACGTTTTTGCTTTCTGGGGGGCGGGTTTGGGGCTATCTTGTTGATCATTGGGGTCCTATGCATAAGTTACCGGTACATCAGAGCCGGGCGGGATAATACTAAGTATGGTGGGAGGGACGGACGACAAGGTGGATTGTTGTTGGTCGTTTTTGAGTTCGGGTTTGTTGCGATGTCAATGTCAATGTCAATGTCATATTGATGGGTTCTGCTTGGAAGGTTGTTGCAGTGGTTAGACTTTCGTTGGTCTGAACTATTCGGGATAAGTTGTTTGGTATGGTATTATGGGCTTGTGGGTCTGTTGTCATGTCGCTGTACAGGTAGCGTTGGACGGGTCGCTGGTGGTGATATGTTCCTACTGTCATATCGCCCTTCTGTGCCGTCGGGACTGGTCGCGACCGTGGTCGATGCCACTCGTACTGGTCGTTGCGAACGCGCGGGGGCCCATTTCCTTGGATACTGAGTCATGCCCGAAGCGTTGCGACGGAACCTGAAAGACAGGATGATAAGCAGTTGCTAAGCGCCGGTGGTGTTGCAGGTGAACGGGGAAAGCCTGTGGATGTTGCGGTGAGTGGATGAACACCAAAAGAGAGGCCTGTGGTCGGAAAGTTCGGTCTGCGTTCCAATGGGTTAGTTTGTTCTCTATAGCCACGCACATCGACGCCAAGCAGGAGACAGAGGATGGATGTGCTCCAGAAAGCTAATTTGGGTGATTGATTGACTGACGTTCCCGGCACATGGTTGAAGTGTGACTGGTAAATTCTCGGATCATGCATCTTATAGGATAGCGAGTTGATGTATATATCACTGCGCGGGGAAGGCCGGAAGATAGTCCGGATAAACTTGTACTGCACATATTGTCTGTGCATGTACCAAGGTGAGTGCAGACCAAGACATTTGTGATGGCAAACTGGGGTTGATAGTTTGACTACTAGACATAGGACAAGATTCAATGCCACCGGCATCTACTGGAAGCGCTCTGATCTAGGACGTTCTGTTATGACGGCATCGATAGCATTGAAGGGAACCAGGGTTGTTGGCCCTCTATCATCCAAGGGTGGGTTCCGAGGCTACCGAGATTCTGTACAGTGATATGGTGAGATGTTTCCATGAATGTGAGCCGACAAGTGGAGGTGTGGAGAAACATGAGCTCTCCCCTTACCCACGGCCTGAGGCTCTGTCCAGACTGTCAGTGTCACTGTGACACTGTAGAGTGTAGACCAACTAACCGAGTACTGGGTAGAGTAGTATTGGAGATGGTGCCAAGACCTTTCAGGAAGCCGGCAAACTCAGCACCCATGCCTATGATGTAAGCCTACGCGTCTGGATGGAGCTGTCAATTGCAGTGCCTGTCATTCCGTCGAGCCGACATTGCTTCTAGAAGAGGGTTTTAAATGAGTTTTTGAAGGTCACTGCTTTCCAAAGACGTATTGTTTCTCCGATAACGGTCCCCCTGTGCGGCCTTCATCGTCATCATCAATCACCACAACGAACCAACTGACTCAGTTGCAACGGGGGATATCCGAGTCTGACTTGCAGCCCTTGCTTGCACCCTGCGCGAGAGGAGCTCAACGGAGGAGTCGGAGCGGGACGCAGACACCAGGAGGGTCACAATTGCTCCAAGCTGACAGCAGTGTGATTGGCTGTGGAGATTGAAAGCTATCCGTTTGTTTTCCGAGTTGCGCATAGCGAGGTTGATGAAAGGCATTGAGTAAAGTGGTTGGAGACCCTCAGGGGAGCCCCGATGGGGCCCTCAGGACGATTTAGTGTGTCGAATCTTTTATCGACCGGCGCTAAGAGGTGGAACTGGTGAGATTAATCTATGGCCAGTCTTGAGATGGACAAAAAGTCTTCGGATCAAGGACCAACAGCGATTTAGTCGAAAACGATGGCTCTGTGGCATCATCAGAGGCTGGCAAACCTTCAGGAGCGAGTTAGGACGGTAGTAGTCTCCGTACTCGGTCAAGTTCTTACTATTCGGTGTTCTTGCAGCAAGGCGAGGGTTTACGGTATTTAGCTTCCGTTCAATGGATAGAGATTGTGATGTGACTGAATCGGTAACCCCTTTTTCCCTCCAGGCTCCTTGGACCACTCCTTCGTACCATGCCACCAATTGATGTTCTTTGCAGAGTCTGCCCACGGCCCTAATTTTCTTGCCTTGCCTTGCGCCTCCACTTGCGATCGTCTGTCCTGTTTCTCTTCTTTCCAATCACGGACTGTGATTTCGAGCTTTATCTTTCTCGAGCAATGACGAGGAAATGGTCTTGAATTGTAGTTGAGCTGATTATGTTTAAGCTCTTTCCTTTTATCTTGTCCTTTTCTTTTTCTTATTGTCAATCTGTTAACAATGACGAAAGGCAGTTAGGATGCGATGATGGCGACAGAGAGTAATTATTCGCAGTGGACCAATCGACCGATCAAATGATAATTAAACACCGTCTTGGCTGGGCTGGATTGAATCACACGCGTCCCCGGTTAATGCCACATCCACCCATCCACTGCAGCCTCTTCCTCGCTCGTTCTCTTTCTTCCCCCCTTTCTTAAGTATTATTATTGAAGGGAGGGTGCGATAATTATTCTACAACTTACTCCAATCAGCAGCAACCTCATTTCCAATTTCTTCTAATCGTCTAATTAGTTAGTGTAGAGTCCGATGTCCTAGTAGTAGTGAATGACTTGGAATAGGGTCAATCGCCTTCTCTCCTCCCGGTCGCTACAGTTATCCTTTTCAGTTCTCAACCTTAGCTAACTAATCTACTTGGTCGGACATGATATGATGATGATGATGATGATGATGATGAACTATTTTCTCCGTTAATTGCTCTTTCTCTCTTCCTCGATTCCTACTCTACTAGTAGGTATACTAGTCGTAGTCAGTTCATTATCTAAACTCCTTCTGTCTGGGCTTGTCCTTCCCTGTCATCCCCACTCTTTTTCCTCTCTAACTAACCGCTCCTTAATCATCGCCTTCCTTCTCGGGCTCTGTCTTTCTCCCCTTTCCCCTCTCAATCTCTCCACCCTATCTTTCCTCTCCTCCCTTTCTCTTGACCTCCTTGAATCCACTCGAAAGAACTTCTCGAAGGTCTTCTTATTGACTTTTGTTTCCAGAGACGGTTTAGAACCAGACGAATTGCAGCTTTCCTGGGAAACCACCTGCTGGTCCATCTTCAATTACGCCCGCTGCAAAGTTCCACGAACCACACCCCCCTCCCCCCCCTGATCCTCTCTCCCACACACTACACGGCACATCCCTCCCCTCCTATCGACCCTCTTTCCTCCCCCCCCAGTCTGCTTCTTTAAGCTTGGCCTGTTCACTAGACCCGCCGTTGCTGTGGACTGCCCTTTAGGCGCCATCACTCTGCGCAAAACTCCCAACGACCTGGGCCCGACCTCTTGACCCTTTGGCAAAGAAAATTGTGTTGTTGCTTGCTCCTTCGACCCGCTTGTCACAGCTCCTGTTGGGATAGCTACGATCACCGTTTCTCTTTCCCCCTTCCTCCCCCCCCCCATATCCCAGCATAATACAGAACAAAGCCTACCAGGATGGCTTCAAAGGTACGCCTTTCTCCCGCGTTCTGAGTTTCCCGTCTCTGGTCTCCCTTTCCTTCCCGCCTCCTATTCCCCGATCTACTACCTCGCCGTCGAACCTGCAGCAGCGCAGCGCCATCACGACATATGCTTACAATTGCCCTCAGTTTCTTAGAGAATATAAGCTAGTTGTTGTCGGTGGTGGTGGTGTCGGAAAGTCTTGCTTGACCATTCAATTGATTCAGAGTCACTTCGTGGACGAATATGATCCGACGATTGAGGGTGAGCAGCAACCATGCTTTGCCGTCGTCGATCGATCGCGCAGCTAACCTAGCCTTTCCTTTGCCACAGATTCGTACCGCAAGCAGTGCGTCATTGACGATGAGGTCGCTTTGTTGGATGTTCTAGATACTGCCGGACAGGAGGAATACTCGGCGATGCGCGAACAATACATGCGGACCGGCGAAGGCTTCCTTCTCGTCTACTCGATAACGTCGCGTCAGTCATTCGAAGAAATCATGACGTTCCAACAGCAGATCCTACGAGTCAAGGACAAGGACTACTTTCCCATCATCGTTGTCGGAAACAAGTGCGATTTGGAGAAGGAGAGGGCTGTCACAGAAGAAGGTGGGTTATCAAGTCCAGGGTGATTCATTGCGACACAAGCTGACGAGCTATTTTCTTCATTCCCAGAGGGCGAGGCGCTAGCACGACAGTTCGGCTGCAAGTTCATCGAAACCTCCGCCAAGTCTCGCATCAACGTGGAGAACGCTTTCTACGACCTCGTGCGCGAAATCCGTCGGTACAACAAGGAGATGTCATCGTACCCGTCCGGGGCGGGCGGCTTCGGCTCCCGCGCCCCCGAGGGCAAGATGGACGTCAGCGAGCCTGGCGAGAGTGAAGGGTGCTGTAAATGTATTATAATGTAATGAACAGGCGTTGGATTGAAAAGGATACACACATGCCGAGATTCGGGAAGGAAACAAAACATTATACCTCGGCAGGAAGCGAGATCAGCGATACCCACCATCGTGATGCGGAATGTGGCTTGTCGACGCGTTTGGACGGTGCTATTATACCAGATGAGGCTCGTCGCCCCGATGATGACTGCTCCCGCCCTCATGCCGCCATCCTCTCCATGAACGTTCGATTCCCCTTCTGTTTCTCTGTTCTTTTTTTACTCTCTTTCTTGATTATTTATCACTTCTTATTTCATTTGCAAGATTGGCCACTTGTTTCAATCTGGGTTCTTTTTTTTTTTTTTAAACGATTTTTCGATCTTGGAAAGGATGGGGAGAGGGGGTGGGAAAAGGAGCCTGTCGCGAGATCTTGTGCATTTCATCTACGTATATGCAATTGCTGTCGCTAGCATTGTGTTTCATTGTTGGCTTTCCAGGGGCTGTCTCCCTGGTTATCCGTCGCTCGTTTTCCATCCATGCTTCTGCGTGCCTCTCGTTGTCAGGCATCTCGACCTCGACCTCATTTCAACTTAATGCTTAGTTTGCTCCGATGTTCTTTTCCCCATCTACCCATGTGGACCACTTCCCACGCATTCGCCATATCTTTTTGTGTACATCTTTTTTTCCCTTTTTCTCGGAGACGGTGTTGTACGGGAGGGATACGGGGCATGAGGCCCTTCAAAGTCTGTTAGGAATGAATACTGCCTGAATCTTACGTTCTGCTTGGTGTCTTAGCCTTACGGCTCTCTTTCTTAAGCCTATACGGTATGTGCCTGTGTCTTTGGTTGAGTGATGAAACAAGTCAATTGTCGTTTTTGCCTTTGCTTTCGTGTGTGCACGTTCAAGGTATAGTGTAGACTCCCTCTCTTCTAGCTTGGTAGATTCCGGGGGTTGCTGAGATTCTGTCACTGTTGCGACGCTGTCTGAACGAAGCGACTGTTTCGAGAGTGTCTCCGCCTCGTTCACTCGAGATTCCGGTCAAAGTTGGCTAAGACCATGGTCTACCGGATAGGAGATATGTCACAGCGGACGGACCCGACGGAGCCTTCCCGGTAAACTGGATTTGGATGTGGTTGATTCATTTATTTACCCCCAGGATTCTAGCTATAGGTTGAGATGCTTTCTAGTTTTTGCGTCAAATGCCCTTTACTTCTCCTCCTCAGCATCGGAGGGCGGATCCAACTCATCCTCGCGGAGGACCTTCTTGCCCTGGACCTCGCGCTCGACCTCCGGGATCAGCGCGTCCAGCAGCGCCTTGTCGGCGCCGACCAGCGTGACGGTGTTGCGCTTGTTGCCCCAGCGCGGGTAGCTGCCGACCTTGACGCCGCGGTCGGCGACGCGCGCGGCCAGCTCGGTCAGGTAGCCCGCCACGGTGCTCTCGGGCAAGGGGGTGCTGAACAGGTACCGGTAGATGCCCGTGCCTTCCTCCGGGTTGACCAGCCGCGGCAGCAGCGCCGGCTTCAGGTGCTCCAGCAGCCGCTCGAACAGCCGCGGCACCCCTGGCAGGATGTGCACGTTGCCGTTCACGATCGCGATCGGCACCCACATGTCGTCCGCCACGAAGATCGCCTGCTCGTCCGCCGCGAGGCTCGCGTCGTGCGGCAGCTCCACCATCCGCAGCTTGGCTGTTAGGCTTGCCGACGGTGTCTCCCAGTCGAAGGCCGGTTGCATCGGGTGCGGTTTCGAGAGGAGCTTCATCCGCTCGAAGGCCGGGGTATGCAGTTTCAAAGGTAGGGAGAAGGCTTTTGCGATTGAGGCATAGGTTATGTCGTCGTGGCTTTGTTGGGGGTTGTTAGTTTGGGGGTGGTTTGAGGGGAGATCGGGGGATTGGGGGTTTGAGAAGTGGAGGGAGAGGTGCGAGGGGTGCGAGGGATTGAGGAAGGGCTTGCAGGGCAGGGCAGGCAGTACGTACGTTGGTCCAATGCCTCCGCTGGTGACCACGAAGTCGTACCGATCACTCATCCGCCGCACGGCTTCGATGATCTCGCTCTCGTCGTCGGCGATCACCTCCACGCGCTTCAGTTGGATGCCTAGCGAGAAACACCATTTCGCGAAGAAGGCCGAGTTGGTGTCTATTGTCTGGAGGTTTTGCGGGGGTGGTTAGTTGGTTGGTGTGGGTGGGAATGGGTTTGCGCGTAAACGGGTCGGGTTTGCTGGACACCACTTCTTTCTCAATTGAGAAGAAGGAGGTTGACATGCGGTGGTGAACAGAGAGTGAACAAAATATGACAGAATTGATTGTGTTAGGATACAATACTCACCTTGCCTCCAAGTACTTCATCGCCAATGATCAGGCATGCCGCGGTGTGGATGGTTCTTTTATTCTTCGGGAGTACGGATGATGTCATATTGAAGGATGTTGGGGATGGAGCCCGAGTTCCGAGTGCTGAAGCAGGGGTGAAAGGGATTGAGCTTGCAGAAGATGAGTTGTTCAGGGCTGGTCGGGTGAGATGACGGGTGAGTTGGCTGAGTCGACTGAACATCGAGGATGGAGGTCAAGGAACGAGAGGAGGAGTGAGTGGATTCAGGCGGACTAAGTATCAAGCGTGAGCGGGGAGGGGGAAAGGAAAGAAAGTAAGAGAGAGAGAGAGAGAGTGCAGGTAGAGAGAGGTTCGAGCGGGTGGGGAAGAAAATAGCGGGCGGCCGGCAACCCGTTCCCATCCCATCATCCATCATCCATCCATCCCACTTGGTGCTAAAGTTGCCTTCTCGATCGACGTCGTCTCCTCCTTTTCTGATACCCACTCGTTCCGCTTCGTGCCTGCACCGCTGGTTCTTCGTTGCCGGCCTAAAAGAGAATTTCGTGTGGTTAACCTTGGTGAGGTCGTTATCATACCAACAAGATGGTGAGGACACATGCCCCGCATTCCCCCTCCTTGCCCTTCATCCGTCACTCGTGATGTTGACTACCCCCTCTCCCAGTCCGAATCTCGTCTATATTCCTTCTCGCCGGAGACGAAAGAGAAGCTCCGCAAGTTTCGCTTGGGTACCTCGCGCGCCAAAGACCCGCAGGCTGTTATATGTAGGGCTCCGTTCCACTTTGTTGTTGCCTCTCTCGCGCTTGTTCGAAATCCCCCTCGCCGATGATACCCGAAGAACGATGCATGCAGGCATATTCTGTCCTTCTGTAACGGCGGCGTCGAAGAACAAAAGGGCTGCGTAATATCGAGGGTGTTGGTGCTGACGGGTCTGGTCGACAGATATAATCGACAACAAGAGCCAAGAAATCCGCCCAGAGGATGGTGAAGTCTACACGAAGATGGAAGATCTCGCCGACGAGCTTCCCGAGACGTCGCCTCGATTTATCCTTCTCAGCTACCCGTTGACCTTGGTTCGTTGCCTCCTCCCACTGCTGTTGCAGCTCCTCGCGGGTCGCTAACATTGCGTTTTCGGTTCTTGTCTAGTCGTCCGGCCGTCTCACCGTCCCCTATGTGATGCTCTACTACCTCCCCGAGAACTGCAACCCCTCGCTGCGGATGATGTATGCGGGTGCCGTCGAGCTGATGCGCAGCACCGCCGAGGTGAACCGTGTGATTGAGGTGGAGAGTGAGGAGGATATTGTGGAGATCGAGGCCAAATTGCAGAGCCAGAATTGAGTTGGCGGTCCGGGGGCGGAGGATGAGGTGTCGGTATATATCATCTTTCGGGCTATGATCTCCTTCGTGGGTCTATAGCCTGTCTTTTCTTTTGGGCTCGTACATCAAGCGCTTTTAATGGTATATTTAGCGGTGTACGCTATTGCTTTTGGGATTAAAATCTGTCGGGCTGAGGTTGGGTTTTGGTTTTGCTGGTGAGATGCTGGTTTCTCTGGTGAGGAATCGGACCTTGAGGTTGATATCCTTGTTCCCGACGGGATAGATTGTTGCACAATCACAGTACTGGATCTGTAGAGCTGTCAACCTTGCTCTAGGCGTTGCTGTTCGCTGCAGCTCCGACTCAACCGCCGTCCCTCCAAGGGAAACAAGAAGGAGACTACCAGGACTGAGATCTGGATCCAGATCGCCTTATAGCGGGAAGCATGTTCTCAGTCACACCACCCCACTGCTCTTGAAAGACACAACTAAGAACATGACAATCGGCCCCTCTGCGATAAATGCCTCAGGCGGCAACAAGGTGGCCCATATCTATAAGAGACCCCTCTAGCTGAGACGACCAGCCCGGTACTCGACAAAAGGCATGTTGTCAATCAGATTAACCCCCGGACACGACCCGACAACTCTTGATTCCATGTACTGTAGCCTCCCAGCCACCCGTGGCCCCCCCTCGGCCCCGTCCCAAGTGCTTGGAAGCCATGACGCCACGGGTGGAATCCATTTCCGGGGAAGAGTTGATGTATCAGATCTTTCCCCACTCAGTTTCTGAATGTACCTTTAGGCCCTTGTAGGGTTAGTAAAACAAGATGATCGACGGTAATCATGCAGAGGGCAACTACTAGCCTATGCGTTCTCCTGCTGCTGTCAAAGTTTTGTCTTCGAAGCCCTGATATGAACGACGACCTTGGAGTCTGGATTCTACATTACCCTCCTAGTACTGAACAGACTAGCATCCATATCTCGTGCTTACGGAGACCGACGGGCTGCTGTGAAAGTCATCTACAGAGGTAAGGTACTGTAGCTTGCAATGTGTGATGTATGCTGCTTGATGGACAGTGTCTACAGTCCTTTCGTGAGTCTGTGACTCCACAGTGGAGATAAGATGATTCAGACAGGCGATCATAGGCTAAATGCACATGGCGAAAGAGTCGAAAGTACTGTACTTCCACAGTACTAAGCCGGGTTTGGTGGAGGTCCAGCTGCCTGTCTGCGAGGTGGCAGGTGGCCCTGTGAAGCGGATTCATTGTCTTACTCTTGTCTTTTGCTTTTCTACGTAGTATGTTTTATGGTTCCTTTCCCCTTCGAAGTACGGGACTCCGAGAGGTCGGGTTGGGGACTGCCCAGTAGTGGGTTAAGGAATTTCATTGTTCTGGTGAGACTGGGGCGAGGGGCAAAAGAGCAGGGATCAGATGGGATGCTGTGATGGGTGGGGAAATGGCCCCGAGCCACTCAGTGCCCACTGGGAGATGAGGAGGATGCCTGAGCGGTTGTTTTCTTTGTTAGAGATGATTGGCTTGGGCGGGTTTGAGGGGGTTTCTTTTCTCGGAGATGCATGGCCAGAGGGAGAGGGACCTAGGGTCTAGGGTCAGGTCAGTGGGAATGGACTATAAACAGCTAGCCAGCAATATCCAGAACGCTTGCCTCCCCTGCATGTGCGGTTTTGTGCTGGGTCCACGGTGGTTGACGGTGGCGAAAACGAAGGGGTTTGCATTTTGCATTTTGCATTTTGCATTTTGCATTTTGCATTGGGCAGGGAGGAATTAGGATGCGAACCCGGTGGTGTGGTTGTGGGGTCTCTTTTTCGACTCGATCGGGGTTTGTTTTGTAGGATTTTAGGGAGGTTGTTTTAGATGCCTTAGGGCTTGATGATGCTTCCTCGTGAGCAACTTGACTGTTGTGCGTGATGAGATGAGCGTGTTGTGGGATGTTAGGTATTAGGTACATGCTTCGTCTATTAGACTCTACATAGTTATCTCCACGGTCAAGACATGACCGTCACGAGGCAGGAGAGGGAGATAGAACTGTCCTTGTGTACTGTACGGAGACACTAACTCCTCATCGAGGTGGCAGATTTCCCCGATTTGGAGAAAAAGTGGAGGAGGAAGCAAAGGTGCATTGAACTTAAGGTTTCGCTGGGGCAGCTTCATTCTGACAAATTGTTCTATTCCACGGCTTCTTTTTTACCATACCGTACACTGAATTGTTACTTTACTTCTCTTACTGCCCGCTGTTCTGCATGGAACCGTTGCCGTTTTTAATATAAATTGGGACAGTAGCATGGTGGTGCGGTTGAGTGTCGTGCAGCTGCTATGCATGCGCTACTGTCAATTGGGAATGTCGGGGGAGGAGGATGTAATGTACTGTATTGTGATAGGGTATTGATACCTGTTTTGAGACGGAGGTTGCATAGCACCAGAGCCGGAAAGGTTCGGTTATATCGAGCAGAAGAGATTGATATAGTTGAAAGAGGACTCGATTGTGAAAGCTCTTATTGATCTTTGTAGCAATTGCTCTTCATTTCTTTTTGGTTTATCTTGGAATTGGCACGTTGTTAATCAATAGAAGGAAAAAAGTTGTCATCCGTATAGATTCTACCGTTATAAACACCGAGGTAAGATACACTGCTACGGAGTATACTGATGCATAGTACATACCTATCATACCACCAAGCCTTGCGCTGATATCATCTTGGCTCAGCAGGTCAGCTTCCAGTCTCCTGGGTACAGAACAACAAACAGAGTCTGTTGGTTGCACTCAGCCACATCTCAGTGTCCGGGATCTAGAAAAAGCAACAGGCTGTGGTCCCGGTCTTGTTTACGGGCGTGTTGTCTGTCACCACATAAGACAGTCGGAATTGCTAGCAGAGTTCCCCGCCAAGCTTAAGAGGATTAAGGAAAGAGAGCCGGGTGGTCGAGACGGGGGTTTCGGGCAGTGTTTCCCGGGTGGGTGTCACGGCATTACTCCGTCCAGCTGTCTAGCGGGCAGGCCTGGATGATTACCTAGTAGAGTCTAGGGACAGTACGGGAGGAGTTTAGTCTTCTCAGAGGCTAGGCTAGGACCCAAGCGCCCCGTCGCCTCGGTTCGCCCGCCCGCCCGACTAGCCTACTTCTAGTTCAAGGTTGCTGGATTCTCGGGCCTGCAGGAGCAGCAACTGAGCATGACTTCGCTTGGTCTCCATCCCCGTACCTTGCTTACGTAGTACTGTACTTACCAGTCTGTCTGCCACTACAGTCACTGTGTAGTCTGTCTCTCTTCTCCCTTCGGCACGGATCGTGAGTATCTCTTCTCGTGGTCGACACCACCACTTTCCGGTTCCAGACTCCAGAGTATGTCATGGGTTACTGAATTCGGAGTATTTGAACGAGCACTTTTTGTCATTCATACTTCATTATGAATGAGTCCCCTGCGCGTCTGTTTGCTGCTTCTCATCTGACAATGAATATGACGTCTACTTGTTGTGTCTCGGCTCGAGTATGTATGAAGAATCACTGCTGCAAGTCTATACGTAACAGTTCCAGCGCCAAATATCTGGATAAAATGCCGAAGGATAATTTTAAATTCAGATATTCCTAAATAATCGGATGGAAAAATAACCGCAAGCCAGCAACGAAGTAGCCATGTGCCACCCATACCCCTACCTACTGCCCGTCTCCTTAGCCTCCTGCCACATTTGCAACTTAACACTTTTTTTACTTTTACGCTTTCGTTACTTGACCTGACTTTTACTTTACATACTCTTACCCACCCCCCTCTTGCTGCTCCATTTCCCCCCTCCCTGCCAGAAAGGTTTGTTCGGCTTCTATTTATCATTTGGCTCGCGCTGCAGTGGCCGTCGTGGCCTGCCTGATTTGTTTATCTCTTTCTCGCTTTTCCTCTTCCCTCTGGCGGCCAGCAAGTCAATTCATTACTACCACCCACCCACCTTTCCCTCCTCCTCACTTTCCTCCCTCTCTACTACAACTCTACAACTACGTGCTCTTTCACCACCATCACTAATACCACTACCACCACAAAACAAAACAACCCCCTCCCACGTCACATCTCGCGCCCTTTCTAATCCCTCCCGTGGCTTTTCGTACGCCTCGACCACGCCCGATCCACACGATCTGACCGCCCTTCAGCCAATCAGTCGTGGGTTTCGGCTGCGACCCTACCAAGAGCTCACCGTCTTGCCGGGTGTCCCAGGTCTACGGTTTCGGGTCACGCCCGTGCGACCTGCCAATACTTAATCGTGTTCCCGCTTTATCTGTTTCTGTTTGGCACCCACTCGGTTCGATCAACAACATCCACCCCCCTTCCACCTCCACCCTCCACCCTCCATCCCTGGTCCCGGTCGCCCAACAACCACTTTATTATACTCGGATCGATCATCGCAAAACCCACCTGTCCCGATTCCGCACCCCGACTGTCCAGCGCTAGGGGTAATATGAATAGAACATTTTGAATCGAGGCGTGCCGCAGAGATTGAGTTCTCTTATACTGCAAGGAAAACGAAAACTTCCACTAATATCACCGACTTGATTCACCACAATATTAGCCAGTCCCGTCCTCATAAGACTGTGCGCCTTCTCGAGATGTCGACACACCAGGGTTCCGACCTGTTCAGCGAAGGGAAGCATGAGGGGTTCTCCAAATATGTCAAACGCATAAGAACCGCAATGAGGAGGACCTCTACCATCAAGGCATTTCCGGCGCCCGGTATACAGGGGGCTACTGAGGTACCCGCCTCCAGTCAGAACACTACGTACGTTCGATGTCTCTCTTTCCCCCTTGCCATTGTCCACATTGCCGTAATACTTACTTCAGGCCAGCCTGACAGTTACTCCTCGCCCACCTGCCACCAGTGTGGCCCCCAATGCGACGGTGCTCTCCAACTGGGGAGTCATCCAAGAACAGAAGGCGCGCGCATTGTTCGCAAAGTATGGATTAGCCGTCGAGCCGGGAGAATGGAAGGCGGCTAGCGATATGACCGTGCAGCGAGTGGTCAGGCCGATCCGTATGCGAGTCCGCCGTACCTGCCACCGCTGCCAGACCATTTTCGGACCCAACAAAGCTTGCGTCAATTGTCAACATGTTCGCTGCACAAGCTGTCCGCGGGACCCCATTGCGAAGCCCGACGACAAACAGGCACAGACCGAAGCTGCACTCCAAACCCTCCTGTCGCAGAAAACGCCTGAGATCGCGCCGGCGCCGCGCCAATTCAGAGAACCTCGCTTGACCCTACCCTCACGTACCGGTGGCCAGGATTTGGTCCATAACCAACCTCGCCAGAGGATCCGGCGAACCTGCCATCGCTGCAACACCGTTTTCGCCGCAGATGCTATGGAATGCAATACCTGCCAACACATTCGCTGTACCTTGTGCCCTCGCGAACCGTACGTTGTGCTATCTCCGCTCGTCGAGGCTATGCTAACAAGATGTAGGGCGAAGCTTAACAAATACCCGAATGGGTATCCCGGAGACGCCGAGCCTCCCTCGGAACTACCTGCACGGACATGGAAGAAGCCCCGTCAACGGGTTCGATACTTTTGTCACCGCTGCAACAACGTACTCCAGTCGCGAGAAACCATCTGCTCCCATTGCGGGCAAGAGAAATGTGACGAAACCATACGAGACCCGTAAGTTACTGAAGCTGGTGGTTATAAACAAGCACATGTTGATAAATCCATTGCAGGAAACGCAAAGAAAGGCCAGAACCCGACCCTGAGATATCGAAACGAGTCGAAGAGCGATTGGCGCATGTGAAGATAGTGAGCATGGGATAAATGGAACGCTGAAATGACTCATTGTCAATTCATCCCACGATCTACGGCCCTAGTAAAATGCTCAACAAGTTCTCTCTTTTTCCCTCGCCAGAGCCCGTTCACCCATACGGCCGGCCTTTTGCGGAAGCCTCACGTATTCTTGTCCTCAGCCTGGATAGCCTGAGAATAGCGCCCAGACGAATAGCCCCGGGAAGAGTTTGGTGGGGGCACAGTAGGGCTGGTCCTGGACGGCTGAATTGGTACATGTGATTGCGTACACTTCAAGGACTGCAGATGTTTGCATCTTGAAGCTTCAGTCATCCTTGATAACATAAAGCCCCAGGAGTAATATCTCGCTGTGTAAGGCCTGTGGATATGCGCTTACGATGGTAATTCTTCAGCAAAAAACCAAACCCAGCGTTACATCGCTGGACTTGCTACGAAATTAGGTCCTTGCAATTTCCCTCGTTGGGATACCACTTTCGGCCGAGGCATTACGTTTTTCTAGAGCGGAATCTATTTCTGAAGGTTCAGATGGCGAGTCAGGTGTGATCCGCAATAGAGAATGTACAGGTTGGAGCGTTAGCCGAAGCAGGACTAGAGTGATGGAGTGACGGAGGGTCTAACCACAACCGCGGGCTGCTGCAATCAAACCTAAATAGAGTGTGTGCCACTGTGATGATTGACAGGACCCGCAATGGTGTTGAAGATGGAAGACCTCGAACCAATGATCGAGCAGGGCTGGACGAAACTGCATCTGTCCTTGGATGTAATCTAAATCATATATTGAGGCCACCCAGTCTAGAATCGGGGGCGACGCTGAGTAATGCTTAGAGAGGGCTCCACTGGGCCCCGCTGGGTTGGATTCAGTTCCCGGCGGTTTGGTGTCGTCCCATGCCTCGGTCAGGGGGGAAGGGGGTGCGTGATATAGGTGATTTTGTAATGCTGGAGCTATCGCAATCAAGTGATCTCGAAACTGCGTGGTGATCATGCAGCCGTGTGCCAGTAGATCTGTACAGTACATAGACCTCCCAGGGAGGGTATATTCCACCTGATAAGTTTGTAGTGTAAGCACCGAATCATCTGAAACCACATGGTGCAGGCAGATAGAAATCATGCAACCAGAACCTGTCACGGCCCTGGATAAATAATACTTACATTATAGCCCTCCAAAAGAGAAAAATAGTAGTGACTATCTACCCAGCTGTCTCCCTAATCCCTCAATTCCCCCGAAATACATCCAAACATCAGAGACATCGACAATAATATTAACTGAGATAATATATTTTTAAAGCCAGCAAGATGAAGAAAAAGTAAAATTACCGACAAAACTCCGCCAACGTCCCTGCACTCGGCCGGAACGGGGGGGGTTTGAACTGAGGGGTTGAAGAACGGTAGACTAAGGTAAGCTAGACTAGTTAAAACCCAACCCGCCGGCGGCGTGCACGGATCAATTTCTTTTTATGGATTTAATGAAATAGTACTCGATTGAATTGGCACCGGGGTTCTCCGTCAGTTTGGAGGTTGGGGTACTACGCTGCTGCTGGTGGTGATTACGGGGTAGGTAACTGCTATTTGCCTGCTCCCTGCTTTTCTTGAGCTAGGCATTTTGCTTGACGGATGGTTTTGTGCTGTATAGTGGAGGGTAGGGTAGGGTAGGTTAGGTTGCGTGCGCCCTGCCAACGCATCTGCGCCACGTTCCGGGGGGGGGGGGGGGGGGGGGGGGGGGGAGGAGGTCTGCCTGTGTCAGGTTTTGTGTTGGAGTATTTAGGGTACTCTGTATACCGATATACTCATCCAATACAGATGACGGTATCGAGACCTAGGCGTTATCCATTATTATCGGTATTCAGTACTCGGCTGAGACCATTGCCTACCTGTGCAGGGGTTTGTCCTTGGCAAGTTGGCAACTACATCATCATCACCATCATCATCCATCCAGAACAGGAATGGAGGTATGCAGTGATTAGGACCTCAGGTGGTACAATACATGTACTCTGCAACTGAATAAACCCGGCATCGAAGATCATCCATTCTTACCTCCAGTAAATGATCACCTGTAGTGTGGATACCGAAACCGGGTTCCCCGCGTCTGACGTGCCAAGATCTTAATGGGGTATGAGGTATGACTGCCGGGCACCTCATGCCACTTGCACTCAATTACAGCATAGTATGGTACTGTGCGTACTGAGCAGGTAGGCACGGTCGGTTGAGGGGGTCCGGCAGTTGGGTTAGTGAAAGGGAAGGTGAGTTTGTCTTGTGGCGTTGTCGTTGATGTCTGCTGTCTGCTATCCGGGTGGTGAAACGCGGTTTTGGTTGAGAGGATAGGCCCTTTGGGTGGTGAGTTCCCTGGTCCTTGGGATTGGGGTTGATGGCTGTTTTCTCTGGGTGGTGTTTGTGTTGGAGGCGATGCACTAAGATGTTTAGATACTTGTGGACTGGCGCTGGTGGTCTGATGGGTGACCACACGTCCATACCTAGTAGCTGAAGGTTTCGTCTGGTGGCCGGGGCTGCAATTGGGGTCTATATTTGGGTCTCTTATGGAGTCATGGAGTTTAAGGTTCTGTTCTGTCCCGGGTCTGCTGCTCGGAACCGGAGGGCAAACGCATGTGGCTCGGGGATGTCGGTTCCTGGTAATTATTCTCCGATGGAGGGGCTGTGTCCATCAAGAAATGCGTTTCCGGTGATTGAGGGGTGACACTTGGGTCCCCAAGATAATTTTAGATGTATAATTAAATTGCTTGGTTTTGTCCTGTAGGCCTCTGGTGACTTGGGTGAGCTGATTCGGAACTGCATGGTCAGTCAGTACCTTATCGCCCAGTGCTTGATACTATGTCTCGTTGGGTTGCCCACCGCTACACCTATGGAGGACAAGTACGCTGAACAATAAACAGTGTCCAATTCAGTAATACCTCCCGCGTAGACCCAAGCACGCAAACTACATCAGCAGTGACAGCCCGCCGGGTCGGGCTCCCGACGGTTCGTATCCGGCCAAAGCTTAACGGGTGCAAATTGGCGACAGTGGCGTCCGTGGAACCTGGATCCCGGAGTGCTGCCTGCTCGAATCCTGCCGCTTCATTGGGCTGATAGCAGAGGGGTCGGTCGTGTCCGGGTGGAGCAAGTTGGACTCGGAGACGGGGACGGAGTAGGAGTAGGAGCAGGATTCCAAAGACAGAGTGAGAGCGAGCCCAAGGACAAGTGGCGTATCGCATTGCGGTGTTGCTCGGGCCATATAGTTGTGTAACCTCTGGTTCCTTGGTATGAAGAGTTTGTTACTGGGGCCTTCCGGTCAGGAATGTTGAATGATTAGCGGTAGTTTATTGGCTGAGACCTGTCTTAGAACTGGGAGATAGCGGTAACCCTGGGGTGATCATACTTGGGCAATATCTGAGATTTATCACAGTGTCTAAGAGATGGCACATATGGCAGTGCAGCTTCACTAGATCTTTATCGTGCAAGGCTGTATCCTTCTGACCGGTCCGATCCGTGGATGATCCGCGGGACGGTGATGGATGCACTACCAAGGAACTTCGCGTAGATTTCGCAAGATCATGCATTGGCTGGTTAGAGGGTATCTGGTAGGAGGTCTGTTGCTTTTCTAGGGTTGTAGTATGGAGTGCGCTCAATTAGTGGGCAGTATACGTCTGAGTCAGATGAGGTTTGCTTTTTCTTGCATGTCTTTTTGACGCTGCTCGATGAATCAGATATATCGGTATTAACTCGGTAATAAATCAACTGAGATGGCCGTTAAATCCAAGGAAAATGAAGTCGATATGGGTCAAGTAAAAATAAGGTAGTAGTTGGATGCCTAACCAAGGTTTGAATTCCGCAAATGAGAGAGGAGCATCGACTGTCGAAGACATAGTAAGACATGGTATACAAAGGTAACATTCCAAGACGGATTGACACCAGACCCGAACCTGACCAACCGATCATAACTCGGTACAAACCCTGTCGAGAAGTAAGAAACCCGATGCAGGAGGAAAGACCCCCCGCCGTTCTTCCCTCACCGCTTCCCCAGGGGATAACCACTTCCGGACTCTTCCTCCACTGCCTCCACTCTACACACTCCCTGCATCACGTATCCCCGAGCACTGCCTTCGAGAGCAAACAAATATGACCGCTCCATTCTCCGTCCCAGCAGATTGGCACCGAATGAGAGCCATCCCTGCACCTGCTGCTCTTCCTGCCGCATGATTCATGCAGCGGTTGCCTTGCTTACCCAAGAACCAGCGGTCTTCAGTTATCTCGAATACGGGGCGGCCGTATGCAAGCCCCGATCATACTCACCCCCTCCGGTGATCCTATTTTCGAGCGAACATACCTGTAGACCCTTGGGGCGTCGACACGGTACACTCCCGACCAGGGTGTGCTCAACTGCTGGGTGAAAATGCCCCGGATGGCATGGACTTTGCTGGAACTCGAGGCGCCACATGTTCCCTCTAGCGCCCTGCGTGTCGCGCCATTTGATTGCCCGGATGGTACGGTTGCAGCTCGTATATCTTACGGGGCAATCAAAGCCAGTGAAATCGGTTCGTATCGTACTGTGACCGTTTATTCAGTACCTGGTTTCATTACTGACAGGGGGTCGCAGTCGACGTGTTCATGTATTCTCCTATGATACACAAAAGCTCCTTGTACAGAACGAGATGATTCCATGCAATTTATCCAGTCAGAATTGCTTGCTTGATATTAGTGTCTCCCAGAGACAATTTCTAGTCATTCCCCCCACTTCAAGCGCTTTGCAACCACTTCATCAACTTCATCGCAAGACCGCTTGCAACCGCCAATACAGTTGGGGCAGTGAACGTAGAAATAAGAGTGAGGGTGGTATCCAAGCCTCTCCAAGGCATGATTCCTCCCAATGAATTCAGTTTTCTCCCAATCGAGACAATCTTCGCAGAATGCGAGCGGACACCTAGCACAACAGAACAAGAGCCCACCGGCCTCGGATACCCGGCTCGCGCAACCCGAACAAACATGATGGGGGCAAATAAACCGAGCCTCGTTCGTGTGCAATTTCATCGAGTCCGGCAGACAATCCCAGTGATATGCTCGAGGACAGGTCTGGCAATGCCGAGGTTCGAACCTCTTACAGATCCCACACGTCTACTTCCATCAGCCAGGACTCCAAACCGAGATAGCCATTGTACTCACGATCTCGTTTACCATCGACTTCAGCGTTCCCATCCCTGGTGATTTTGGCGTGGTCGGAGATGCGATATGCATGCGCAGATTCTCCTTGGTGACGTCGAAACCCTCAATAGTGATGACCCGGCCTTTGCCAATCCGACGTTCTGCGCGGGCGAAGCATGGTGCGTCGTCTGGAAATGCCTGGGATCTTGACAGTTTCTCAACTTTCTGTCCATTGAAGATGTTCGTACGCACTCGCTCCGACACTTCCCACCAAGAAGAAGTGTTCGCGAGATCCTGACCTGTGTTCGAGTCAATGGTGCATCTGGTCAGAAGAGATTCAAAACCCCACGATCTCATATCTGCCAGGTTGTTCTCTTGAAGACCTTCACATGAGATTAGACGCATCGGAGGCGTTTCGTCAATTCCGGTCAGGGTATAGTCATGACCGTTTCCAGCTTCGAATATGCGCTCCTCCTCAATGATCTTCGATGAGAGATATGACTTCTTGAGCAGGCGACGGCTCATCTGCTCTTCCAATGTGCCCTTAGAGATAAGCCTGAAAATTCTAACTGGCTGAGTCTGGCCTATACGGTGCACGCGAGATTCAGCTTGTCTCATCACTTGTGGATTCCAATCTTCGTCCAAAAAGATGACCACTGAAGATCCGACCATATTTAACCCTTCACCGCCGGCCCGAATTGATACAAGGAAGACCATGAACTGGGGAAGATTGTTGAAGAGATGAACGCAGAGCCTGCGCCAAGCTCGAGAAGTGCTTCCATCAAGCCTGACATATTCGAAGAAACTGCGTCTCTGCAAAATTCCCAAGAGCTCCTCACAAAGGTCAAGAGCCTTGACGAAACATGAGAAGATGACGACCTTCTTCTTTTCGGTGAAGACGAAATGGTGGACCAACTTGCTCAAGGCAAGAAGCTTTCCCGAGCACGAAAGGAGGGAGTTAACAGAGTCATCTGAATTCTCCGGGCTGTTGTGCAATAACCAAGGATGAATGGAACACTTCAGACGTGAGTATACTGCATTGCCCATGATGCAGCTAATGCTTACCTTTCGCAGTTCCATGAGAACGTTATCCGAGATCTTCCATTTTCGCTTAGCCGCTGGCTTATTCGGATCGAGATTCGACCTGTCGATAGGCCAGCCTTCACTATCTGTATTCAACGTCGATGACGGCTGCGAGACTTCACCCAGTGCTTCGTCTAGTCCTGTCAGCACTTTCATGTACAAAGAGTGCTGTAGCTTCGAAAGCGGCACAGCGAGTGTGACAACTTGCTTAGGAGGCAAATTTAACCCGACTTGAGGGGAGTCTTTCAGACGTCGCAACATGATGAGGTTGAGAAATTTTTTGATGTGATTCGAGAAGACAGCATCGAATTTGCCTTCGTTCAGAGAAAATGCGTCCTTGAATAGCTTAGCCGACGACGGTGTGAAGACCTCGGGGAAAAGCCAGTGCAACAACGACCACACTTCGCCCAAGTTGTTTTGTATCGGAGTACTGAAAACAAGGTCAGGTAACCATATGAAGGCGAAGAAGTGAAAAGCATCACTTACCCTGTGAGTACAAGCTTATATTCGGCACGAAGCTTGCCCATGGCCTTTGCCCTCTTGGAGTTGCTGTCTTTGATCCGATGGCCTTCGTCGAGTACAACATACTTCCAGATTGCCACCTTTCGGAACCAGAGGATGTCTGTCATCAACGTCTCGTAGCAGGTGATCAGCACTGTGCTTCTGACATCTTCTTTGAAGCAACCCTCCTTGCCGTGCTTCTTCGAAAAGAGTTTTTTTACAATGTCTCTCTGATCGCGGCTGCCATGAAACTTGACGGGAGTGAGGTTCGGGGTCCACTTTGTGATTTCAGTGATCCACGTGTCCAAGACGCTCAAAGGGCAGACAACCAGAAATGGTGCAGGATTGGTGCAAGATGATCGTTCACTCTCCGTGACATGTTCGAAGAGCGTCAGAGTCTGCAATGTTTTTCCGAGTCCCATCTCGTCGCCCAGAATGCCACCCATTCCATTTCGTCGAAGGTACATGAGGAACGAGAAGCCATCGAGCTGGTACGGTTTCAGGGTTGCCCGCAACCTGCAAGGTTAACTAGATTGTGCAAGTCTCTAGGCTTAAGGGTCTTCACCTACCCTTTGGGCTGATACGTCATTTGTTGCTGCTGCTCAATGGTGGGGTGCCCATGATGTTCGGGATCCCTCAGCACGTCGGGAACGTTGTCTAGGAGAGGAAGGATGAGATCCCTCTTTGCTCGAAGAAAGTTATTTCGTCGTCTTGTGATGTCATTGATGACGTTCGCAGGTGTACTCTCTGTATTGGCAGTGCTCTTTCTGCTTCGAAATGGAAGATCGAGATGGATGTTTCGGAACCGTGCGGCGTATGACGAGAGCGGGGAGGATTCTCGTTCTGACGGGGTCAGTTAGCTCGGTGATTGCTTGGTATGGCATGAAGGTAATTTGTCATACCGAGGTATCGAGCTGCTAGGGGCTGTGGGCTGCTAGTACTGGGTGGAGAGGTAGGGGGAGTCGAAATGCATGATCTGAGAGTGCTGAGAGGTGTCTGAAAGTCATCCGAGTCGAGGAGATTGTCCCCATCGATGTGAGGAGGGTGGTAGGCCATTTCGATGGAAGCTAGCTAATAGGGTGATTCTTTGGTGATAGGATTAGAGCGAGGAATAGTTGCTCTGGTGATGAGGTGGTTGAGTTTATATAGTGGTGAGTATATAACACCACTGTTGATTCCGAGTCTTTTGGGTGTTGGAATGAAACGGGTCTGAGGCAGTGTTGCTCCAAGGCATGCTGGTGCACGGAGTGATGGGAAGCTTGAAGGAAGCTATATTCACAGGGAAGGGGTAAGAAAGGGATCCCATTTGGGGCAGGATACGTTGAGAGTGATAGTGAATGGATGGTGTCTAAAATGGAGAATTAGCTGCATCGCGGTTGTGCTGTTTGAGTGAGAGCGACAAGTGGGTTAACCTAATCTCTTTCGTCTTGCATGGTCACTAGAAAAGCACATTTATACTTTAGGACCAGCAAGTGGGGTCCACAAGGCCCAATTCAGGGTAATCTGAAGCGATATTGGAGGATATACCTGGCAATAATGTGTGGAGTGAGGTTTGCTCGGCTCACTGCGGATTGCGGTAGGCTATGATCTTGATATCAATAAAAGAGTGCTTCAAGACATTTAGCTACGTCTTTTAGAGTCAGCAGAATTGGGGTTTAGATAGTTCTCTGTGATGTTCTCTAGCGTCTTGACATATACTGGCTGCATGGATGGAGTATTCATATGCGGGGACCAGCGAGATCAACCACCAGAGCAACCAAGCATTACTTGAAGGGGCATTTCAAAGAGGTCTTCTCAGCTCAAAGACCAGTAGAAGCCATGACACAAACAAAGATTCATGTACAGTACAGTCGTGGGGATCCAGTGATCAATCCGTCGACACCTGCCACCCCAAGGCAGCAAGGCAGCAAGGCAGCGATCTTATCAGCCCTCAGCCCTCCGCCCGATAAGCACGATCAACATTTTTCTCCAACTACCGTCCGTCACCACCACACCTCGACATACAACCTCCACTTTCACTCGATCTTCAACCATCCTCATTTAGCCCCTCCTCCCCTACACTTACTCCTAACCCATCCCCCACATCAAAAATGACCACCCCCAAAAACCAACACATAGCGCAAACCCTCCTCCTCCGCGCCCACTCCCCGGACACAGCCACCACCCTCTTCACCGAGCGCATTAAACAGAAACCTCTCTACGTGCGCCCGACCTCCCCGACCCCGGAGGACAACCGTCACCGCCGCCGCCTCCACCGTCTCCGCCGCAAGGACTACTTCCTGCGCCACCAGAAACCCCGGCCCTTGTCCGCGCGCGAGCGGCGCGCCCACCCCGAGGTCTTTGGGGTGCCGACCTCGCGGGCGCGGGCGAATGCCAAGCACAAGCACAAGCACCAGAACCAGAACCAGAACCACAACCAGACTGAGTCTGAGGCTCAGGGTGACAGTGGGGCCGGGGATACTGGGGCCGGGGCGGCCGGGGAATACAAATACGCCACCTTCAAGGGCCTGCATGCGCTGTGGGTGGAGTATATGCTTTCCGTGCTCGATCTGAAAGACCCGCGGAGTAAGACGGGGTGTGTGGTTACGCCGAGTTCGCATGGGAGCAAGCTGGTCAGCTGCGATTATCATGGGGCCGAGGTGGAGGTGGTTCGGAGTCGGTGCGCGAGTCGGGTGGGGTTGAGGGGTATTGTGGTGCGGGATGGGATGTTTGCGTTTACGGTTGTCGGGGAGGGGGATCAAGTTACGTGTGAGTTTTTTCCTTTTTTTTTTCTTTTCTGAGGAAGGGGAGGGGTTGGGCTGGGATGCGATGGGATGGGTTTGCTGACTTTTTCTGGTGGTCGGGGTTGGGTAGTGATTCCGAAGGAACATACGGTTTTCCGATTTGAGTTGCCTTTACCCTTTTCTTCTTCTGAGGGGGGGAAAGATGCGGCTGCGGCTGGGGTTGGGGTTGATGGGGATAAAGGGCAAGGGCAAGCACAAGACCAACAGAAGAAGCTCGTGTTCGAGTTGCATGGCAGCCAGTTCCAGAATCGGCCGGTGGACCGCGCGAATAAGAAGTTCAAGTGGAGGAATGTCGACTATGTTTGAGCGGCTGCCTTGGCCGTCCCTTGGGTCTCTATTCCGGGGGCTTGGATTTACGGGGTTATTGGTGTTGCTCGGATCTAAGGATTGGATGCCTGTGCAGTGCAGCTGCGGTTGCTGGGAATGCTGGGCCACAGGGTCTCCTGGGTGGCCGTGCTGCTGGCTTACTGGTGAGATGCTTGGCCATGGAAGCATGGCTACCGAGCCGAAGACTGATGTCTAAAAGCTCTAGCTTCAGCGTCTCTATGCAGGGGTGAACTCGATAGGGGAGGATGTCAGTCTACTGCCTCTGCAGTCACACATTCGGCTGAAAGCACTGCGCTCCGCCATTAAGTCGGCGTCGAAGTGCGACCTTCACGCGACAAGGGTACTCCAGCGGAATACCTTATATTGGGCTACAGTCCGACGAGGCTCGAGGATCCCGCGACAATGCACGTTGCACACGCACACGCACACGCACACAGGTCTACAGAAGTTGGTCTTGACATTGATATAGATGAATCAGAACCAGAATCCATCGTCTCACCATATATTCATCGCATCCATTCATGTTCGTTATAGCTCACATCGAGCACTATCTTTGGTCGAGCATAGCTGGTCTCAGCCAGACTCAGTTCAATCTCCATCCAGCTAGACGCACTTCAGCTAGGGTTTAAGCACCCTAGATGGGGCATAACGGGACGACTCTGCACAGGATGAGCCCGCAGACGACAAGCCCAGCTGCCGCGGCGAAGCAAACAGCCCATGTGCATTTCTGCTGGACTACATTGCATTCCCGCTGCATTGCATATTTCCCATCCCGACGGCAGATAGAGTATCCCTCTCCATATACCAAGCGAGAGAAGTTACGAGTCCATCACCAGGAGTAACCAACTCAAAGCGGGCTGGCAACAGCAACAGCGGCGCAGCACAAGCTCTGGCCGCATCCATCACAAGAAGCAGGCAAGCAGCCATGCCACCATAAGCCTCCACGCCAATATCAATATCAAAACCAACAACACCAACGAGTTCACATCCCCGCCCACTCAACACTAAACGTCCGCACATTCCCCGCACCCCCCAGCCCCGACTCATCCTCCCTCGGCTGCGCCGCCCCGCCAATCAAAAACCCCTTCTTGACGCCGGTGCCCAGCCGTCCGCCCGCGACGACGGCCATCAGATCGAGCTCCTCGTCCCAGTCGGCCGCGATCACCAGGAAATGCGAGTGAAACCGCAGCGGGTCGCCGGGGTACGCCAGGTACTGGCAGCCGAAGCGCAGGCCAGGCGAGAGGTAGTACCCCTCTGCGTGGAGGTGGGCGAAGAGCGGGTAGGAGGGGGGCACGGTGGGCGGTGGGAGGAGTTGGTGGGCTGTGGAAGAAGAGGGTGAATACGGGAGTGGTGGGTGGGAGGTGGCCGGGGTGATGCCCATTGTTGTGCCGTAGGGGGCGGTGGTGGATGTTATTGAGGTGCGGCGGGAGGTAGAGGTGGTGGAGGTGGTCATTGGGGTATCTTCAGCAGGAGTTGCAGCAGGAGCTGAGGTCTTTGGTGCGGGCTCATCGCTCCCTGTAACAGCAGCACTATTACCCTCATCCCCACTCTCACCCTCACCCTCACCCTCACCCTCACTCACGGCGGCGGCAGCAGCAGCAGCAGCAGCAGCAGCAGCAGCCTTCTTCTTCGCGGCGGTTTTCTTCGCGTCTACCCGCTTCAGCGCCGCCTCGCGTTGCTGCTCCTTGCGGTTGGTCTGCAGCCGCATGGCGTGGGCGCCCTGGGATTCTAGCTCGCGGCGATACTTCAGGCGGTCGACCTCGCGGAGGGCGCGCATGCCCTCGCGCTGCGCTTTTACCTCGTCTACAATGCAAGCTACACCGTGCTCCACCAGCAGCCGCGCCTCCTCGGGCATCAGCTTCAGCGGCAGCCCCAGAAACACGTTCTGCTGGGGGATCTGCGGCAGGGTGCCGGTGAGCACGCCGCAGATGTGGTGCTCGCGTCTCAGATACGTCACGGCATCAATAGAGAAGAGAAAGTAGCTACCCGCGATATACGAGATCGGGACGGGGAGGAGAGGGTCTGAAGCCATTTTGGAAGTAAAGTTTATTGGAAGTAATTTTTTTTCTCTCTGCTGTAACTGAGGCGCTGTTAGTTCTTAGACCCATAAAGTGATGCACAAGGTAAACAGCGGGATAGGCATTGCAAATCATTTTCAATACGTTTCTCAATCACATATGCTCGTAAAATGAGATTATTTGAGCTTCAGGGGATTGACAGATTATAGTAGTTCATATAATCATGCAAAGGGGGTTGCACGGGAAGAAAAAGATAATAAACAATGTGAGGCTTACCATCTACTCAAAACGCATCAACATCCTATGCGTTAGCAGTGCAAAGACTGCGAATGTGTTGCAAGGTCTGTGTTGTTCTCTGGTCGGAAGAGCAAGAATGAAGGAAAAATTGTTTAGTGGGATGGAAGCTCTTAAAGAAGCTGCCCCAAATGAGACCTTTCCTCTTACGGCTAGCCGACCATGTGTGCTTAGTAATGAGCACGGGCCACCAGACACATCGCCGATGATGCATCCGATGCTCTGCCGGGATCAGGAGATCATGATGTGCTTGTCGAACGAGGAAGATCATTAGGCGCCAAAATGAGCTTCTTGTTGCTTCTATTCTTCGTGTTTTTCACACCCCTCCTGTTGCTTCTAGGTATGTCCATTTTCACCACTCTTCGGCAGCACAACCATTTGTTAACGGAGCCTTAAAGCATGGCTGGGTCTTTCGTCCTGCATGAGGAACCGCCGCGTGCGATCGTATTTTGCAGCCTCGCCCGCCGGACCGGGTATCGACTCGTACGGTAGACACTATCTCCGTACAATGGTCAACACGGGGCCCGCCATGTCCGAGCAGATCGAGCTGGACGATATGATGCGAGGATCGGAACACGAGGAATAATCGCGAAGATCTCTGCATTCGAAGAGACGTCCAACACTTCAGAACTCTAGATCCGCTTTCTTCGGCATGTTGCCGGAAACCGCGCCGTCCTGGCCCTCCTTGTCGCCTTCCGCGGGGGGAAGACTAAAGGGCTTGATCTCGAACCTCCGTCGGCTCAGTGTGAAGGCCCAGTCCTGGCCGACGTTCTGGTCACTACCGCCACCACGCTCGTGCAGAACCGGTAGCCGATGCGTCTTCAACATCCCCTGGGGCGGCTCTTCGTGGGACGTGGCTGCGCCGGAGGTGGCGAGCGCGTCGGCTGAGTGAGGGAAGGGACACAGCTCGATGACTCCGTCGCTGATGAGTTCCATCCATCGCACGAGGCCCGTGGCGCGAGGGAACAGAGACAAGGGGATTGTGATCATCGCCGTGGCTCGAACGCCGGGCGTGTTGAGCAGTGCTCGGAGGGAGTGGAGGAACGGCAGGACGCTATCAGGCTGGCTCGATTCGGGCGGGTACACCGTGGGGTTCAGGAGAGACGGGATGACAATGCGGTGGACAGTATTTGGAGGGCTCGACGCGATCGCAGCATCAAGGCGTTTGTGGATGGTTGTGAACAAGGGTTCGTTCGACGGAGTGAGCGGGATGTAGTTGAGATTGGCGATGGAGGGGTGTGTGAGACGTTTGGTCAAATCAAAAGCGTGACAGAACGCAGGTCGCTTATCCGGACTACCGTCTGCCGTCGGCTGACTCTGGTCCCCGGAAGTAGCTGTAGGCACTATCAAATGTCAATGCGCCTAATTCACACCCATACCATGGACATGTATCAAATTACCTCTTGATCCAGCAATTCCTGCTCCAAACTCCCCCAAACGCTCGTACCTCCAGGCGATCTTCATGCGCTCGCCCTTGCGCTTGTCCTGCTTGTCGTCAACAGAATCAGCTGGCCCTATAAGCCCCGGAAGGCTTCTTCCCCACTGCTCCGGCATCCCGACGACATGGACTCTGTGGTCCTGCACAACGCCCTCGGCTGCATAGTATCGTAGCAAAGCTCCCGCAAAGTCCGTCGTACCATTCTCTTCCACTAGCAACGTCTTTCCAATAGGAAGCCCCCCATGCCCAGCAAGTATATTGTCAAGCGACGGCGTTCCTGTCGAAGTTGTCGGTCGCCCATCGTCGGGGGAGGGGCGAACGCCCGGCGTGGATTCTGGAGCAGCAGCAGCAGTAGCAGCAGAAGGCGCTTGCTGCGACTGGGCAGAGGCATTGACAGACCCAGTACGGTCGCCTCCAGTTGACAGTCCAATATTCCTCTTTCGAAAAGACATTGCTCAAATGAGGTGGTGGGAAATACACCTAAGTTAGCTGAAGCGCGAAAGGAATTGTTTCTTCAAGCTTTGAGATTTGGCTGCGGGGCAATGGACGGAAAGGTACTGTAAAAGCGGCGGCGGCGGCGACGGCGGCGCTAAAAGTTCTACTACCAAAAAAGCTGTCTCCCGCGCGAACTCCTCACTTTCTTTCTCTCCTGGAACTTTCCACCTCCGCGTGCGCGCTCGCTACTCATTCATCGGCCGATTGATTCTACACGCTCTACCAACGACCAAGGTCGCAATTGTCTTCACCAAGAAAACCCCGGAATCTACTTCTGTGCAACGCAAACCTACCACCATGTCCGACCCGTTACTCTTCGAGGACACCTTCACCATCACGGCGATCAACCAGCAGAAATATGACCGCGTGTCGCGCCTGACCTGCACCTCCTCGGACAACTTCACCACCTTCACGCTGGATGTCAACACCGAGCTGTACCCCTGCGTCGTGGGCGAGTCCCTCAACATGGCGCTGGCGTCGACGCTGTCGCTGGATGGCAAGGACGACTCCGGGGCCAAGGCGGGCTGGAAGGAGGTCGGCATGGGCGAGCAGACCCTGGCCAACGACTACGACTATGTCTGCCATGGCAAGGTCTACCGGTTCGAGGAGGGCTCGACTTCGGGGAATATGTAAGTTCCTTGCGTCTGTGGGGCTGGGATCTGTGGGGGGCTTGGGAGTTTTTGATCTTATGGATGTGTGACTAACGTCGGATCTCTTTCCTCTCCAGGGCTGTCTTTATCTCCTTTGGCGGATTGTTGCTCTATCTCGAGGGTCCCTACAAGAAGCTGGCTCCCTTGCGGATTGACTATGTCTACCTTCTTCTCAAGAAATAAGGAACGCAAAGGACGAGAATCTCTTTGACGTTTGTTGTGTGATTCCCTAGGCTATTCTGGGTTGTAGAAGCGCTCTAAGTCCGACTAGTATCTGGGGAACGGGGGTCGAAACAGAAGAAAAAAAAGTCTGATTGCATTTTATTGGGGTCATTCGATTGCAGCGCCGGCGTTCGATTGGTGAAATTCGGGTATACTAAATAGAACCACTAAATATTCTATCACATGTTGTGTACATTCCTGCCCGCTCTTCGCTGTCATACATCCTTCTCTGCCGCCCCCTCCCTTAGTTCGTCGCATGCGACGCAGTGGGAAACTCCAAGCGCCGGTGTATCCGGGCCAGGATCTCCAAGAAATCCAGCTCGTTCTCGGCGGTCAGGATACCGTGGCGGATGAAGAAATCGATTAAGACGACCGCGCAGTTGGGCTTGAACTCGCCCCGCGCCAGGGCCGCCTGGGTCTCATCGACTGAGAGCAGATGGAACTGCTCGACCTCGGAATCGCCGGGTTGCAGCACCACGTCCGCGGCGACCCGCACGTCGTAGATGTACTCGACCTCGGGCTGCAGCAGGTCGGTCTCGCCGCCGGCCTTGGAGCTCCGGACGTAGAAGTAGGTGACGCAGCCGGCGGCGCGCGCGCTCGCGCGCGTCACGGCCTCCGGCAGCGAGGCCTCCTCGCTCGCCTCGCGCACGAGACACTCGAACGGCCGCTCGTGCGAGCTCATCCCGCCCGCCACCGAGTTGTCCAGCATCCCCGGGTAGGTCTGCTTCGTGCGCGAGCGCCGCGGCACCCAGATTCGTAATCCCTGGTCGTCCTGCACGTAGCACGTGGCGTGGATGCCGTAGGAGACCACCCCGAATAGCGGGGTGGCCGAGCGCTCCATCTCCAGCAGGAACTCGCCCCCCGGCCCGTAGATCGGGTAGAGCTCGTCACGCCAGCCGCGCAGGATCTCGAACGTGCCCTGCTCCACCGCCGCGGCGAGGGTCTGCGCGATCAGCCGACTGCGCTGCGCCGGGGTCGCATCGGCGCCGGTCACAAGGGTGACGGTCCGGGTCGTGGTGTCGACCGCCCAGAACTCGGCCGGCCAGGGGAATTTCTCTACCACGCCGTTGAGGATGTAGCCCAGCACGGCGTCGCAGCCGCTGACTTTGAAAACGTGGTAGTTCTCCAGGTGCGCGGTGTAGAATGCGGGGTCATCCTGGTAGTATGGGAATCTACCGTGGTGGGATCATGGGTAAGTAAGCATTCCGATGGAGAGGAGGGGTTGGAGGGGCAAGACAGTTACCGGTCGCATTCTTTGACCAGCTCTAAATTGGACTTGCCCATTTTGGTTTGATGGTAGAGTTGTGAATGAACAGGGTGGTATATAAAAATACAGGGGAAACAATCTATGCTTTAGTCATCCTCTAAAAAGAAGGCTGTTGTTGTTGGGTTACTAATGAACTGGATTCCTGCGGAAATCCAATGACTTTCCTTTTCTGCTTTAGGCCGAACTTGGCGCTGCTTTTTGCTCCCTAAGCGGCCCGGAGTATGGAAAGAGTATAAAAGTATATATTTTAAATAATCTTTTAGCAGTTTTAAAGTAATCTAAATTACTCTAAAATTAAAAACTAAAAAGTAACTATTACTTTAACTGTATATTTAAATCTAAATAATCTAGTTATATAATTTAAATAAAATATATACTATTAATATTATTTATTTTACTTTTTATCTCAGCTGGTATGCCTATTATATTTCTAGTTTTTAAAAATATTAAATCCTATTTTAATAATTATTTTATATTTAACTTAAACTGTTACGGGACGGATGGATTGTACTAATCAAAATATGCCTTAGAATAAGAAGAAATAGCTGAGGAGCTATTTCATCTGTTTGTACAAAATTCTTTTATATATATACTAAGCTAGTATTAGTTTAATACTTAGTATATAAAGCCTTAGATACTAACTAGTAT